CTGAAACGAAAAAGGGTGGTGATACGGTTTTAAGACGTGAAGTGGGCTTCTAGTCGTCAGCATGTTTTATCCTATATAAATTTACTGACGCGCGTGGTGTAAAATAAAAAGGGATTAAAAAGCGCCCACTTATGACGGCTGAGGCGATTGCTATCCGGCAAATGTAACCGGAGCAGTGTTACCAGATGATGCGTACACAAGCGGTACATTTGCATTGGCCTTAATCTCCCCATGAGCGACGTTTGATTCGATGTAAGGCAGTGACCCCATGACATTATGCGCGTTATTCTCTTCATAGATCAGAAAAGCTCATCAACAGATAATGCAGCATTTTAGACTGAATTAAACCTAGCTCAGCTACCTAATGCTGACTCAATTTTAACCTTTTTATACCTATATTACCATGAAGAGAAACCTTAATAATAATTTTCCTGGCTGACTTGCATGGCGTTTGGATCGAAGCTGTTTATTTATTAAAGTATTTTGCAGCCGCCGCGGCAGAATGGGTCACAAATTATCCTGTTGCTTGGCAAGTGTTCCTAATTTGACGAGGAAGAAGCGCAACAGTTTCGTAATGTTTGCCCGACTCAATGTGATTAAATTAGTCGCAGCGGTTTTCAGGCTTTGTGGCGTCCAAAGGCGTAAGCAGCGAGTAGTGAATATCCACGGCATGCTAATCAAATACAGTTTTATACCAATTCAGATTTCTCTCTGCTCTCTAACGAAACGTCGCCAGGCTGTGGTGTCCAACTTTGGTAATAACGGTCCATACGGCACAGAATGTTTCAAGTGGCACTTTAAAATTTCTGGAACCAACAAATACAAAAAAGTGCTTTGTGACAGACCGACGGGGTTAGTTTTTCAGGGACTTGACTGTATGGAGCAGTTAAAATTGTTTGATCAGCGATTAAACAGTATATGCCAGCCACCGCATTTTGACCAAAGGTCGCAGCAATAGATGTCAAACTCGACGTTACAAAATCAGAGTATGAAAATTAAAAGATGTCAAAATACCATGCTTTAACCTGGTCTCGGATACTGCGGAAGGGCTAATGCTTTCTAAAACAAGCAACATGCTAAACTGCTATTCAGACTACGGTGCCCTGTGCCAAATGCTGATAACGAAAAGCATTTCACTTTAATTTGGAAGCAAATCGAACCGACAGGGCCCGTGATTACAAAATTGTTGGCACAGCATACGCACGAGACTACTGTGGACCGAGGTAATGGTCGACAGTAACACTGATCGACAGAAATGCTAGAGTCATATTCGAGTTAATGATAGAACGGCAAGACACAAGTTCTACCAGAACCGCCATCCTACCGCGGGGCGTCCTGCTAAACATCTTTTGTACGGAAGCCTCATTTGAAATGCTACATGGATCAAAAGAGAATCTGCAAACACCGGATAACACACAACGTAGGAGGACCTGAAAAAGGAGTCGACCACAATGACGTTAATTTGACCCCAAAGTGAAATGCGTGTGAACGAAATAGAGTTCAGACGGTACGCTTACAGATTCTATTTGAAAGTGGAGGTATTGGCGGCCAAAACGAGAGCTCCGTGACACCATTTCCATACGTGAATTGGGCTTGCAGCAAGTCACTAAATAACATGATGAGATTATTGTATCATCATGGGTTGTTACGCGACCGACGTGGGCGCAAGTTCAGGTGGCCAGTAGAGATGGACAACAGTTTCTGCTCTGTCTAGACAAATGAAGTATGTCTGCCCAGAAAGCGTAACCGGTGGTGAGGGCATGGGACCAATTCAATTAACCGTCTTCTGTTCCTAATAAAATCGATCAATCAGGTTGCGGTCATTTTTATCTTTCCTCAGCTCTTTCCGGTGCAGATAGCAGGGGCAAGGGCAGTTTTGCAACCTACAAAAACCAAAACTTTACTGAGGTACTTGTATTCAGTGGAAACCTTGCGCCATAGAAGAGTTTACTCTTTGTGAAGCGTGCTTCGACTTTTAGGCTAAGGGCCAATGTTGAACACCTCAGTTAAACAGCACATATCGTAGGGCACAGATGGTACGTCCGCAATGTTGGTGCACTTAGTTTACTTATTAGAAAATGGACAGGTGTCCTTCAGAGCTTAAAGATATTGTCCCTACCTGAACTAGTCATCCTGGATTGCAGCATCGAGGACTTACGCAAAACGCTGCTTCAATTACAGAGTCCCGGACTTCTGGGCTTTTTGTTATCAATTTGCATTTTCCCGTATGTAACGGAACTGTTGTTAACAGCAAGGTGAAATGCTCGGTCTTATGGCTACCAAATACGCGTGCTGAAGAAAGCGGCGTGTACTGCTGCCGGCTGTTCTGCTAAACCAATGTTTTCCTAAGCAGTTTTGAATATCGTTAAGGAAAGTATGCTACGGCTTCTGTATACAAACCATCAATTCATGACGGCACATCTTGTTTGCTTGAGGAGTCTCTAATACAGCATCAACCTGCAGTAACGCTGCAATTAGAGGGAAGGTTCATCAAGGTTTTTACCTTGAGTTCAGTGAGGCATATGGCAAGGTGAACTTTGAGGTCTTCTTTCACAGGCTGAAGATGTGCGGAGTTAGTGCCTCGCTCCTCCTTTAGATCAAGTAATGCTTGCCTGAATGTGGCGTGTCAAGATCGAAAACCAACTGTCCGACTGATATTTCTTGAAAATTAGCATGCTTCAAGTCAGGTTATTGGGCTAATTTTCTTTCTGTTCAACATAAGTGATACGCCTCGATTTACCGCCAATCTTTTGCGTAGTTTGCGGACAACATGAAGAGGTGGAGAGCAATCAGTGTGCCCGATAACTGTGTCGTACTTCAGCCTGAACTTGGTAGCTTATGCTTGCCATAAACTCGATGTGTTGTCACAGATGAGTCAGGATAAGGAGGGAATTGGTCGAACTTACTAAGCTGCCAGTCAATCGCGGATTCCCAAAACTTCCGTGAAAGACCTTGTGCACCCACACACTGCGACCTAAGGTCCGTGGACTACTAGACAAACTACACCGAAAGGGATTTATTCTTATCTGGGTGCTCAAAAGCGGCCTCTGCAATTGGTCCGCTTTAATCATACAAATATTTTTGGTTTACGGATGTTCCGCAAGCCTCCCTATCACGAAGGGCCAGATGCAAATTACTGAGTTGGTATGCCTTATTTGCACCAGTCTCATCCCTACTTCACGACGTGTGTCTAGCGAAAACCACACAAGCGATTAGAAATTTGCATCTTACCATATCGTTTACTGTGGTTTGAGCTCATCATGACACATCGGTGATTACATGTTTGAGATAAACACACGTTGAAGCCGCTGCACCATTTATGCATACCATGCAACGCAAAATGAGAAGGGTGGTAGTGCGTCGTACAGGAAATGAAAAGAGTCGTACGCCACAAATACGACGAATTAATTCTGAAACTAAGTTTTTAACTAAGAGAATTGACTACCAAGAAAACCGTGCTACCGCAAGTAATCAAAAATTACGGTGTCAAACTCACTTAAATTCCTGGATACAAACTTTGCTGATTTAACATATCGGAGCTGCTAGTCAACATAATAGATCATTGTGCCTGATGGACTTCAGATATCACTTCAAAGATTTGGTCATAATGTTGCTACGGTAACTTATGCATTGCTTGTTTCGTCAACCGGCTTTGGCAATGCATGATCAGATTTAAAGGAATTATTTATGCTCATTTGTCATGACGTTACAGTTTGTAGCTAGTCAATGAATGTCTACGTGAATGCCGGTTGCAATACTATGGATTGCGTCATTTGCGTTTTTCTACAACTTCTGTACTAACCGTGCTTTAAAAATATTGGGAACCAAAACACACTATTTTCACATGTTTGTGGTAGGTAACAATCGAAAAATATGTGGCGAATTCTCATGGTTGCTGCTTAATTTTACTAACCTCACCTACCGCCATAAGATGAAGGCAGGTCATCCCCGAAAACTGTGTGAGAATGATGGCAATAAACTGTAGTTTGTGCTGCTACTAGAATAAAGTTGATATCTTACCACAAAGAGTCTATTCGGTGGATTAGAGTTCTTGATGCAGACCAGCTGCACGTTCAGATATACACCGTATGGTGGTCGCAGTCCGATAGTCATTCAAAGGTTCGATTTGTGTTTCGCGTCCAGCGTTGCAATCGGGGTCCTATACGTTCTTTTTTGTAAGCTGTTGACATAAATTTACAGTAACTGGGGTAGGCCTGATGAAATTGGCTTGACAAAGGAAATCGGGCTCTGGTACAAGGACTATTGGGGTTAATTTTTTGCGTTGTATCCAGAAGTATTTAGGAATTTCGAAATGAGGTTTGGCCTTGGAAGCTACTATCGTTACGCTTATTGCTGCATTTTAATTTGGATAACGATTGTGCTTGATTTGCTTTGTTCAAGTATTTATACGGCAGGATGATTCGGCAAACCTAGTGATAACCTTGTCAAGGCTAATGTTGTTCGGACCTCTTAAGTGGAGGACTCAATTAGTTATGCTATTACGTGACAATGTTTTATTGCAGAAATAAAATGATGACCCAAACGCCGAGATTAAAACATGTTTCCATTGAGAAATTTGGAGTCATGTATCCGAAATGTATAATGGTGTTTAGTTACAATTTGTAAACTTTATGTCTATTTGAAAGAGCAAAACACTTTGAGATCTTTGGTCATTAAAATAACCATTGCTAGTGTGACCGAGATGGATCAAGTCACATTATATTCGTGAGGTATCAGCTATATGCAAACGAATGGTTGGGTTCGAGGCTAACGCCAATAAGACAAAATATGGTATAAGCAGTCCGTAAGCAGACACTCCTATGTACTACTTAAGTCTCGATAAAGGTAGTAAAGAAATAAAAGACGCACTTAAAAATAACTAGCGTACATATATTAGCACATTTTTATATTAAGTCAATTTAAATTAATGAACTTTGATTGTATCAAGAAGCCTTACCTCGGTTTTTATGCATTGTCTCTCCCTTGTTATTCTCCCTTAGCTTAACATCTATCTATGGACTCGGTTCCGCTGTTCTCAGGATGGCTTGCGGATGTGCAACCAAATCCGCATATGTACTCGCAATCTTCACTTACAATACTTGCAAACGATCAAACTATTGTTTTCCCAACCATGCACTTTCGCAGTCCAACATAATTTTATCTGTTTTATATCAAATATAAAGGAACAAAATGGAATTGACATTGTTAAACTGCTCTGGTATGCGATATGAGGAGGTAGATGTAGGTGTTACTAAGATTTACCCGAGTTTAACCAAAATAAAAATACAGATTAACTTACCTCATCGTAACAAATATTGTTAAGACTGCCAGGTTATAAGCGTTGCACTTTTAAGGAACACATTATTAGTAAACACTGAAAGTGCTCTAAAATTAGGTTATAGCCGCTAAAACTATTTCAGAGCTAAAGCATATTAGTATCTGCAAATTACAGAACGTGCATCATGGTTACCTGGCTAAATTAAGTCGACATTTCAAACGCTGATAGGAAATAGAAATACGCTATATTTCAAGGCATACATAAATAGGCAAATAAAATGGAAGCTATTTTAAATACAATTTTAGTTGCTTAAGGTGGATAACTGCTATTATAATCAAGAGGCATTGTTCGCTATATACTGAAATGCTGACGCAACTAAACTATAACGTGTAGTATAAACTTAACTGAAACTTCTTTTAGGGCTAAATAAATGTAGCCTATTTAAAGCACTGAGTTCCCTTTATCATTCTAAATAAGAAAATAAGAAGACTGGTATTGCGAGATGGTACCATTTCGTGTTATCTGTTCACTCGCAAACTAACAACAGATGGATGAATCACGTGACAGAAAAAATCGAAGATTTGCAACTGGTCACAAGGGAAAAATTACGTAGACACAACAATGACAGATTAGCATCCTGATCTTAGGGTCATGAGCCCCAAGGAAGCTTCAGGGAGACTTTTAATTGTTTTTGCACGCGTAGGATAGGGCGATGCCGGTTAAGTGCCACGGATTCGGCAAACCTCAACATTTTGGGGTTGTCATTACGATAGATAACTGTAAATGTTGACCTGGGGTCAACCTGATGGCCTGATTCCAGTAGGTGTTTGGCGATCGATGAGGCCGGCATCTTAGATACCTTTTCTCGTTCGCCTGCTTCTTGCGTCGACAGTTTGGCCATCCATTTTGGGATATGCTCTCCAATGCGCTTACTCAACGATCGATCTGTTCTGCCAATGTAACTACTACCGCAGTTACAAACGAATTGGTAAATGCAATGAGTTGTGGCGGAGATTTATCTTTCCTCAACGTGCTTGATAACACACATCCAAACGCCCGTTTAACCTGCGAACTGGAGGATAACAATTGCCTTCCGTTTTTGGATGTGTTGTTGACCAGACGAGAAGATGGCTCCATTAAGCGTTCTGTACACAGGAAAGCTACATGGACAGGATTGTATGAACATTTCAACAGCTTCGCCCCTATACCATACAAGCGGTGCTTAGTCAAGACGCTGTTTAATCGAGCCCGCAGAATATACACTGACAACTGTTTGGAATCGGAATTGCTGTTTATCACACAGACGCTACGAGCCAACGGATATCCAGAAGCGTTTATTCGATTCCACGGTCAACTGAATGAAAACAGGCCGACGGTACCCACTGTGCTCAAATTGTCTGTCTACCTTCAATTACCTTTCAAAGGTGATATCGTGGCCGCCCAACTTGAAAGTCGTGGGCGTACAGCGATTCGGCGGGCATTCAACGCAGCCAAGTTCTGCCCTATTTGGGAGACCAGGAAGATACCTATGCCTCCAGTGAAGCCTACTCAACCGATCTCCGCCACAACTCATTGCATTTAACAATTCGTTTGTAACTGCGGTAATAGTTACATTGGCAGAACAGATCGATCGTTGGGTAAGCGCATTGGAGAGCATATCCCAAAATGGATGGCCAAACTGTCGACGCAAGAAGCAGGCGAACGAGAAAAGGTATCTAAGATGCCGGCCTCATCGATCGCCAAACACCTACTGGAATCAGGCCATCAGGTTGACCCCAGGTCAACATTTACAGTTATCTATCGTAATGACAACCCCAAAATGTTGAGGTTTGCCGAAGCCGTGGCACTTAACCGGCATTGCCCTATCCTATGCGTGCAAAAACAATTAAAAGTCTCCCTGAAGCTTCCTTGGGGCTCATGACCCTAAGATCAGGATGCCAATCTGTCATTGTTGTGTCTACGTAATTTTTCCCTTGTGACCAGTTGCAAATCTTCGATTTTTTCCGTCAAGTGATTCATCTATCTGTTGTTAGTTTGCGATTGAACAGAAAACACGGAATGGTACCATCTCGCAATACCAGTCTTCTTAATGTCTTATTTAAAATGTAGCCTAGATGTTCACCCAGTACATAAATCATTGTCATGGTGTATGGACGCCGACATGCACAGGATTCAAATCCAATAGAAGAAATAATAAACCGCAACCTTTCATATTCATTGTTGCCCTGTGTTTAACGCAGAACGACATTGGCCAACACTAGTTTCACTTGCTTCAAATGAGAATTTGTTTATCTAGAAATGGATGTCATACGGTTGCTGATGACGAACATGCAGTGAAACGCAAGGAAGCCAAAATATAACATAGAAGTATAAAAAACAACAAGATTTAATCCCAGAGGGGTGTAAGTTATACAAGTGTCTCTGTTTTATTCGCCTCTGCAGAAGGTACCCCTTTGCCCTTAAATATTTCGGAGTCAGCATTTCTGGCGAAAAGGTAATACCGAATACCAACTGCATAGTAACACAAGAGCGAAGTTCTATAATCACGTACGTCTATCCAATTGCAGTTAAAAAGTCTTTGACCACATCTTTCTCCAGGCTGTGGAATGAAACCAACAATTCATTCAATAATGCCTGGTCTTAGTTGTTCGGTCTTGCAACTTAAAATAGTAGGTCCAGTGATTTTAACTAGGATGTTGAAATCGAAGGCATTTGCACACTTTCAGTCTTTACGCTTTGTCCTAGCCAGATAGAGAAACTTAATTTTGCCTGGTACTTCATAGCTTGTACATCTAAGATAATGCGTTTAGAAATAAATAAGCGTGTACATTTGCCGACAAGCGGCGCGCAGCCTATTAATCGGGAGCTAACATCTAACTGAATAGTGAATACTGAATACCGGTTGGAAGCAGTGAGAAGAACTATCTCTGTGTAGCTGCATCATTCGTCTCTGTTGGACATATACATTTTATGTTCCGTTCCGCTCTCTATATTTTGCCTCTGCAGAGTGTTTGTCAAGGAGGTTCTTAAATTCCCACACCGAGTTTGCCTCTACTGTGCGCCGCGGCAGGTCGTTCCATACATTCACCCATCTGCTTTCAAAACTGAATTGGTGAGCGATCCGCTTTTATATCCGGTACGATAAGTTTATACCGGTATTCTCGCATGCAGCTTGGTGTGCGCAGATGAAGCAGTTGTCTCAACATGGGGTAACAACCCAACTGTAATGTTTGGTGCGTCCTGATGATGTCAACCCTCAGTCGACGATAAGCTAGGGTGTACAGCCCTAGTTTCTTACATCAGTCTTAATATAGCGTACCCCGTAATTTGGGAATTAGCTTGGTGGCTACATGCTGCACATGCTCAAGCTTTTCTACCACGCCCCGGGTGATGGGACAATACGCGGGAGAGCCGTACTCTAGCATTGGTCGTATTATGGAGAAAAAGTGGCAAGTGGCCATCTCTTTGGACCAAGTGCTGAAGCTGCGCCTGAAGGCAAAAAGCATCCGAAGGCTGTTTTGGTAAATCAGATTCGGGCTGTCCATGTACTTTAGGTCGCAGCGTGAGAGTACACCGAGGTCGCGCACGAAAGGCGAGGGATGCAACGGTTGCCAAGCCACCGTCTAGGTTCGGCTGTGTTCAAACTTACCTAGTCTCATGAACTGTGACTTGGCAGGGTTGATCGGTAGGTTAACCTCTGCAGACCATTTTGAGAGGCGGTCGAGTTCCTGCTGAAGAAAATCACAAGCATCGAGTGTGCGGATTACTCTCCACACCTTCAAGTCATCTGCGAAGAACGTACAAGGTGATTGGAGCAGCTGAGGCACATCTTTTACATGGATCGGAAACAAAATCTGCTTCCGTATAGTGCCTTGGGGCACGCTGCTGCTTGATGGATACCAGTCGGTTAGATCGTTGTCCACCTGGACCCTCCACTTCCGATCAACAAGGAAACTGCTGATCTATTTGTGCAGCGAACCACCAACACCGCACTTCCTCAACCTGGCAAGGAGCACTGCATGGTTAACCTTGTCAAAAGCCTTACTGAAGTCAATGTAAATGACGTGGACCAACTGACCTTCGTTCAGTGCATGTAACCATTCGTGCTTCGTCAAAAGTAGGTTGGTGATACACGAACGACCTTTCATGATACCTTGCTGTGCGGCGGTCTACAGGTTTTTCGAGTCGAGAAGCTGCAGAATGCTCTTCTTCACGATATTCTCGAGCGTCTTTGCTAAAATAGCGCTTAGGCAGATCGGCCGGTAGTTAACATGTTTCAAATTATACGAGACGTAAGTTGATAAAAATAAGGCGAATTTAAATAATAACATTTCGCATCTGGAATTTTCCCCGGAATCCTAGTCTCGATCGCTTAATATAAAAAGCTACCAATATTTGTTACATCTTTTTCGTGTTTATGGAGCTCCGGATTATATAATAATAGGTAGGAGATTATAAATTTCGTAGACACAAGGTTGGTTTTATGGGTTTTTAAATTTAGCAGGCAAACTGATTGTAAGCAACTAGCTGTTCATTCGTTATTTATACCAGGTTGTCAACGATTCTAGATAATCTTGTGGGCCTTTGATCGTCAACACATTTGTTATAGTGAGTAAAGTCTGTAGGTAATTTCTAAAAGTGACCTTGCTTGCACACACGCGGTTCTGTAAGGGTAGTTTGTTCCACATACCCACTTATCTCTCTAAGGATAAATTCGAGCGATTTTG